AAAATGAATATTGATAAAGTTTACCTTTATGTACAGAATCTGAATATCGCAAAATATTTTTAAAAAATTGCAATAATATCGTATCGTGGTATGTATGGTGATTCCCACCTAATAATTAGGGGGCAAACTCTCAGACTATGTTTATATGCATACAAACACAGTTAACAGTAATAGTAGGCAATTACCATAACTGTTAATGCAGGGTAGCTTTTTTTCTTTGAATGGTGCACTAATAAGTTTTTTAAGCGCTGTATAAAAACAAAGTATTTTTTTTTTAAGTTGGCTGTAAATAATTAAATCGGGTAATTTATTTTACTGTTATCACCGCTATCACTTGTCATGAAAAGTGTCAGTGCAAGAGCTCTACAAATGCACGTGCACTTTCTGTAAGTACACGTGCAGCTGCAACTGCCACCAGCGGATGTATCTCTCAGTTTCTGATAGATGAGAAGACCATAAAACAATAAAGCGAAAATTAAATTATTTCTTATTAGTTTGTGAGGTTACTCAAAAAGTATCGTACTGAACTCGTCCAGCATTCAGCAATAGAAGGATATGTGTCTGGCGTAACTACATCCTCATTTGAACCCATTATCCGTTTTCCCACGCAACCAGAAGCTGCTAAAGAAAGTTATTCACTTTCATTATTCACAGCTATGAACATCATTCACGATAATTTCTTGATTATATTTCATGTATATTTTATTTATTATTTGATTATTTCAATATTTTCGATTATGTTTTTAAATTACTTTAACGATCCTACATTACAGTCGTTTAATCAGATTAATCAGGTTAATACACGAATTATTCAAAACGGTATATTGAACCACATACAAATATGGGCAATCATAATAAACAAATAATATTCCTTAATTAAATAATGAAGACGTTACTTACCTTTGTAATGCCGATTATTTAAAATCCGGTGAAAAACTCTTCCCGTTCAGCAGGTTAAGCATGAGACATTTATCAGAAGTAAACGGATCACACTCCGATTCCGTCAGAGCTGCTGACGCCGCTTTATGATTAACAGATGCGTATTTTTAGGTTTCTTAAATGGAAGAAAAATCGCTTAATTTTCTTCTGGAGCAGAAGTCTCTTTCCG